GGATTCATGACACTTTTTGTGTTTCTTAAGCAAGTTATGGTATCTTAAGTCGTCCGTCAATAAAAACTTGCTTTTGGTAGGAAAACTAAGTCAAAAAAGATGTGGAAATCTCGGTCAGCTCCTGCGAGGTGTTATTCTCTGAGCCCAACAGTTCTCTGTCGATCTGTGTCTGTGTCTTCGATCTCCAACCCAACTCAACTCTGAATGCCCAGGGATGTTCATTTATATGGACACTGACCAAAACCGGGTTGGGGCCTGTCATGGTTTGAGTTCTTTGACAATTCTCAATTCCCAACAAAAATTTTCTTTGTCCCCAGGACAGGAAAATTTATTACTTCCCATTTTTGGAAGCTAATCACTTTCCCTTTTGGGGGTTTTCTCCCTCGTCCGTGAGGAGAGGTCGGAGGAGAATTATCCTCCTAGATTCCTCCTTTCTCATATTGGTATCTCATGCCAATCCTCTTGGTGGGTGTCAACAACTTCCCCGCCTTTCTCATACTTCCTTCGCCTATCACTCATGCCACCACTCAGCCAATGATTGCTCGGCAGCATAGGTGTGGCTAGATTTGGCCTTCTTAAAATTATCGTCCAGAAAAAAAAAATTCTCTTTTCTTTTCTTTCCTTCTTTTCTATCGGTCAGAATTCTTATGAATTCCACGTGGCCATAATTAAAATTTTATCTTATCCTGAGCCACCCATAATCCACTTAGCAGAATCTCCACCGATTTATTAATCACTGCTAGTCAACTTTTAAACTGGGTGGTTGTTTTTACTTGATAAACAAATTCTTTATTTTTCTCATGTCTTAAAATTTTCATGTCACCAGATGCTCATTTTCGAGTCACCATGTCTGACAATAACAATGATCTCCTTCTTGACTCTCTATTCTCATGTCAAGACCTGTAAATACAACAGATGGGTCTCCTCGCTGGACACAAGAACCAAAACTAAATAATAATTATGAATGATAAATGATAATTAATGGCTATTCTTTTAGGGTGGTCTCAATGAAATTCCTGGGCGGTCGCATGCGTGGCCCGGCTTTGTTTATCTTTTAGAATTCTGTTTCCTTGCCGTGTCATGTGATCATGACATTAATTAATTCTGACAGAATCTGAAATCTGGTTTTCTCTTACAGATTTTCTGTCTTCTGCGAAAAAAGTATCTTTCTTCGTAAATGAAATAAAATCTTTTCCTATCATTTTTTTTTTGTTAAAAAAAAAATGTTGCTTGGTCTGTCTTGATATAGCTCTTTCACGCCTTAAGTATTTTAATTTCTATGCTTAATTAGTTAGCCAATTACCATAGCTAAATAGTGTCACACCTGGTTTCGAAGGCAGATGTCAAGGTAGTAGTTAGGATGCAAGGAATGCCAACCAATCAACCCAGCCCCAATACATTGGCTGTGAGGCAAGCTGAATGAATCTGGGAATCTGGGGAACTATAATGGAAGACACTGCCTTATACTGATTGTGAGCCTAGCCAATTTGCAATTTGGCAATCCTTGCATCAACAGAATTCTATAGGCATCATCCATCATTTAGAGGCCCTCTTTTACAACTCAACTTTTAATGGATAAGGATATTGTGTTTGATAGCCAACTGGTCAAAAAATATTTTAGTGAAGTGGCATGTCCAGCTCAACTTCTGATGTGCATATGTTCCTGCAGGCAACAGTATAATTGAGAGATGCTATTGCAGCATTAAAAGAGTTGCTGCCAGAAAGCAATGCTTGATCATGGAGACAGTCTACTGGTATCATGTCACACAGTAAGGTAACAACTCCTCCATTTTGTGCCCTCTGACATGATCTATCACTATCAAGTTAGAGAAAAAGGAATTGGTTCAACTTTTCCACTACCACATCAGAAAGAGCACATGCTGTATGAAGTGGGAGACCTGTGCAATCAATGTACTTTGAGATATCAGATGGGGTGTGTAACTGGTATCAGCAGTCCACACACAATTTTGATTGATAGAATGCCGTGCCAACTGAAAGATCTTTGCCCCAATGTTGTCTCCATTACATCAGAGAGCAACACAGACAATACATCAAATATATCCTCTGAAAGTGCAAAAGTATTTGGAATTGAGGCATCCAATGTTATGAAACAACTCAGGACCTGAGCCAGATGAGCAGGATAACTCATTGAAAAGCAAGTTCCCAGAAGTCCCCCTACAACAGAGTACCAAAATTAAAAGACCCACACCCAGTTGCCATATCTGAAATCATGATCATGAGATCAGGGGGTAGTTCGCAAGAGAAAATGATGACATACCACAAAGGCCAGAATACTTTTCTGTTTCATGCTGTTTTTGCAGGAAAAAGGAAAAAGAAAGATACAGAAAAAGGAGAAAAATGCCTCTCGATTGAATGCAGTCAGCAAGTTCATGTAAATGCAATACATTAAAGCAATCTTGGTTCAAGTTTCACTGAGTGTAGAAAAATAGGCTAATCCATTTTCATGCTCCATGAATAGCAAACCATAAAGGGTTCAACAAACTGCTATAAAAGCAATTGACTTTTCCTGCTTGAGAGAGAACCTTGCGAGTTTGCACATGAGTACATTGTGACTTTCTGAGGAATTGCAATTGTTCTTTTACACTCCTACAGACTTTCTCTCCTTTTCACTGACACAAATTCTTCATCCAGCATATTTGGATCATCCCTTGTTACATCTTCCCTTATCAACAGATTCCATTATACATCTGTAAAGAATTCTGCTAATTGGACCTGAATTACAGGATCACTCCTTTTATCCAAGTTTATATAAGCTATCTTTGCTAAAGCTGAAATTCTACCCAATAATGCTTCTATGGACTCCCCAACTTTTTGACTCATTCCAACCAAAGCCATTGCAACTTTAGTCATATTAGCAAAACTTCCTAATTGTTTACTGATCTCAGATTCTATCTCCTACCATGTCAGTTTCTTATTTCTCTTCAAAAAGCACTGACAAGTGTATTCAAGTAAATATTAAGCTTTGATAAAAAAAAAATATTGTGTTTGTCATATTTTCTATTGTTTCATAAAACATCATAGACTTGTGTTTTTATGATTTAGTGTTGACAGTATAAATATTACATTTCAGGACAGTTAATTAAACTTTATAGGAAATTATTTATCTCTATGTTTTATGAAAAGGATAAAAACAGAAATTGCTTTTATTTTAAATGATTTGGATATTGACTTTTTTTTCCAAATATAGTAATTCTAAAAAAAAGCTATTATATGATGCCTGTAGGCATAGAAACATTTTAAAAGTTGAGACATTTTGTCTATGTAAAAATTTTGGAATTTTCTAAAAGAAATTCAGATTTCATTAGAATGTTATAGGTTTTAAGAAGTTACTTTTCTACAAATTTCTAAATTTTCAATTAGGAAACAAAGGAAAAAATTGCTCTAACTAGGAAAAATACATTATTTACATTAAAAAAAAAAATTACATATGACATTAATGACTCCAGTAAAATATGTTCTAATGGATACATTTTATGACAAACTTTTTTGACAATTTTAAGCTCTTTCAATGAATAAAAGACCCCATTACGAAATTCCTATAATATTCTGTAAGTCAGTTTCTTATTTCTCTTCAAAAAGTCCCTTAGCCACTTTGTGATAGTGCTCTCTGAGTAATCATATGGCAACATGATCATATCTATTTCAGATAGATCATATATATGAGCCTTCTTCCTTATTGCATTGATTCAAGAGCAATGTTTCATGGCTCTATCCATAAAGATGGGTGTTTTCAATCCTGTTGGCCATTAGTCTATGTGGGCCCACTTGATTGTCTATTTCTCTTGCTGCCATGATATTCTACTCTCGCTTTTTCTTCTAATAATAAGAAACAGAAATCAGTTAGAACCTTCATGGCCATGGTATTAATTTTTGGTATTGGTGTAGGAGTTATTTCTTTGTCTTTGACAGTCTCAGTCACTGCTACACCCATTTAAGATCATAAGGTCTAGTGGGTTTATTCTGTAGCTAACAAGAGTTGAATAATGTCATTGTTTTTTGTTTGCTGATCCACTGGAAATCAAACAGTACAAATTGGAACCACCTCTTAATTGCTGTTGTTCCCAGGTCCACCCTAACTGTTGTCACACTGAACTACTGTATTCTCAATCCATGTTCTCATGTGATTAAACCCTTCTTCACTCAACCTTTTGTTTTCAGGGTTTTCCTTACAGTCTTACTAACCAGCATCTATGAGCACTATATGAATATTATAACAGTGCTGATACATACTACAAACTTCTGAGGTACCATGTTTTACTATGGCTCAAGGCCAACTATCTAGTGTAAACCAAGGACAGTGCTCCCAGCCACACAGCCAAGAAGGTACTTAGTTATTGCAAAGCCAACTTTGTTGGTTCATGTACAGTGGCCACCAACAAGTTCTCTCATCCTAACATTAGTACCTTCAAGACTGCCATAAAGGAAGAGTGGGCCAAATTGTCCAAGAACTTTGTGGCTAAGAGTTAAGCAGTTTTTAGGCTGTGTTGAGAGTTTAATTGAAAATAATGAAAGCTAGATTAATAAATTAATCATTTTTATTTAATCTATGAGTTTTATTAATATCCTTTAGTATTAATAGGTCTGTTTATGAATTTATTTATAAGTGAATTTCTAAGGTCATTCTATTTTAGTAAGTTTTGCTTCTCCACCTTGTATATTTATTACATTCTTCATATTAATATTTACCAACAAAATCCCACTTAATGAACTCATCTTAGTAAAGGATTAATACAGTCATATTAATACAGCTAATCATATTACTATTTTATATCTTTCATGTTTTAGACAAACAGATAAAAGAAAAATGTTACAGAGTAAGTTTTCCTTTTTATATAGCAAATTCTTGAAATAGAGCTTCTTAAAGATAATTCCTTCATTCTACCAGTAAACCATACCTTCAAGTATTGCAATCATTTTAGTGTAAATCTATACTTTGTATTTTTTATTAAATATAATTCATTTTCCATATTTGTCTACAGGTGATAAAATTACTGAAAGTAGAAAAGAGCAAAAAAAATAAAGTAAATTTATTCTATATTGCTGGAGATAGAGTTATCAACTACTTGGATCAATGTTATGAATCAGAAAAAGCACTGACAAGTGTATTCAAGTAAGTATTAAGCTTTGATAAAAAAAAAATATTGTGTTTGTCAGATTTCCTATTGTTTCATAAAACATCATAGACTTGTGTTTTTATGATTTAGTGTTGACAGTATAAATATTACATTTCAGGACAGTTAATTAAACTTTATAGGAAATTATTTATCTCTATAAGCTCTTTCAATGAATAAAAGACCCCATTACGAAATTCCTATAATATTCTGTAAGTCAGTTTCTATAAAAGCAATTTCTGTTTTTATCCTTTTCATAAAAGAAAAGGATAAAAACAGAAATTGCTTTTATTTTAAATGATTTGGATATTGACTTTTTTTTCCAAATATAGTAAAAAGTAATTCTAAAAAAAAGCTATTATATGATGCCTGTAGGCATAGAAACATTTTAAAAGTTGAGACATTTTGTCTATGTAAAAATTTTGGAATTTTCTAAAAGAAATTCAGATTTCATTAGAATGTTATAGGTTTTAAGAAGTTACTTTTCTACAAATTTCTAAATTTTCAATTAGGAAACAAAGCAAGAAATTGCTCTAACTAGGAAAAATACATGATTTGCATTAAAAAAAAAATTACATATGACGTTAATGACTCCAGTAAAATATGTTCTAATGGATACATTTTATGACAAACTTTTTTGACAATTTTAAGCTCTTTCATTGAATAAAAGATCCCATTATGAAATTCCTGTAATATTCTGTAAGTGAGATAACTCCAAATAACACTTCTAATGCTACAACAAATCTTGGGAGTAAATCCTTTAGATGCCCAGGCATCTTGTAGGTCCTTTGTGGTCTTCATGGTGGTTCAGCTTTGTCAGGATCATCTGGTTCAGAGGAGGTCTCAGAGGTGTTGTTTTTCTGAGATTCAGTGTCTGAGAGTTTCACTTTGTTACTTTTCAGCTTTCTCCATTGGTAATTTAGTTTGCTCTCATTGTCAGTATTAGTGGTAGGATGGACCTGTTTTAATAGCATTGATCAATCATCTGCACTCAATTCATACCACAAAGATCTAGGACTAGGAGATTGTAAGTCATCATCTCTCTTGGGAGGTTTCTGCCCCACACCTTCCTTCTGTCAGAGCAAGGTCTCTTAGGGAGGCTGTATCTTGCCTTCCATCAAAATAGCATATTAAGGCATATTGAGGATTTGCTTCTATCAGTTCTACTATATCTATTATAAATTCTTGTTTATTCTGGCATATGTGGCATTTTAACAGCACCATCTTTGGTTGTGACAGCTACATTGACAGTGAAGCATCTTCTTGAGAATGAATAGAATCTTTTGTGTGGAGTGGCCTTCATCACTGTGCATAATAGTGATCTCATGGCGTGTAAGGCAGTCAGTGTTAGCTTTTCCCAAAAATCAATAGAGTACCCGTACTTGTCTCACACTGACCGTTACCCTGCAGGTTATATGGAGTAGTCCTACTAATGGCTATTCCTTGTTCATGTAAGAACTGTCTGACCTATCAGACATAAAGGTGGTCCCATAGTCCAAGTGAATACAGGCAGATAATCCAAAGACTGCTATCTTGGGTATGACAATAAACTACATCTGCATCCTGGGTAAGATGATGAAATACATCCAACAGCAAGGCCTCTGATCAGGAGGTTTTGAGGAGTGTGGAACCACCTCTTAATTGCTGGTGTTTCCAGGTCCACCTTTACCCGGGGTGATAGCACCTGTTAGGGTCCCAGCTATGGGCAAATAGTTAACCCTGAAACTGGGGTAGAAACTATGAAAGTGTAAAAATAGGTTTTAATACCAGAAATACTTTGTAAAAATTATTCCCAGTAATACATTTTTGAAGGAAAAATATTACCAGGAATAGATTTTTGACAAAACAAAATATTATCAGGAAAAAAAAATTGTCAGCATTAAATAACTCATTGAGGTTGATATGCCGTAAAACAAACCAAACCAAACCCAAAGATGGAGTAGAGGAAACAGAAAGCCTGGATTACTGGTTTTGCTGTTACATCAGGGCAGAGAATCATAAATACAAAGTGTGAGTATTCATCTATTACTGTTAATATATATTTGTTTTTAGTTTTAGATGCGAGTGCTTCCTTGAAATCCAGAGCAAGCCTCTCATATGGTTGCATGGCTTTTGCTACCATGTCGGGTCTCTAAAATTTTGGTTTTAGTTCAGCACATATTCAGCAGTTCCTTATAGTTTCTTTTACATCAAATGAGAAATAGGCAAGTTCCATCTACCACTGAGCTATTTTCTTGTTTTTCACTTTACTTGTTACTATATTGTTGAACAATACAATGAACCTTTTAATCAGTTATTAATTTGAAATGGCTGCCTAGTAAGTAATGCCGCCATTTTCTAAGAGATTCTACAATGGCATAGGTTTCTTTTTTCTATGGATTTTTCATTGTATAAGTGTTCAAGGGAAGAAAACTACAGGTCATCCTGCTTGTCATAGTGAGGCATCAATGGCAGAGTCCAGCACATCCATTTCCACCACTAAAGGCACAGAGGAGTTGATAATAGTAACAGCAACGTTTTTGATGTTTTCTTTTAATTTCCTCAAATGCCCTGATGGCATGAGGGAGAAGGGGAAAAGTAGAAATCTTTGTGAACGGTTGGACTTTATGTGAAAATGACAGAATCCAATGGGCATTGTGAACAAACATTCCCAGTGCCTGTCTTAGCAATGATAAGATATGAGGAATCGGTAGTTTTAAGAGGAATCTTAAACATTTCTGTTCTGGTTTCATATAATTCTTACTGATGATATAGCCAAGCAATTTAATTTTGTTCTGTCTGAAGAAACATTTATCCTGATTTACTGTTAAATTGCATTTTTTCACATCTATCATGAATTGTTTTAGGTTTTTGTCATGTTTGTACAGGTCCTGTCCACATACCGTTATGTTATCAATGTAGGCAAACATGCCTTTTAGTTGCTCCTTCTCACTCATTTCATCTACGATTCTCTGGAAACAGACTACTCCATTAGTTACACCAAATGGGATCCTGAGAAACTGATACAATCGGCCTCCAGCTTCAAAGGCCATATATGGTCTATTACGTGGTCTAATAGCTACTTGGTGATAAGTGCTTCATCGATCAAGAGTGCCTTACACTCCATGTTTGGCTATTTTGGCCAATCATGTCATCTATACAAGGTAGAGGGAAAGAATCTGGTAACATAAATTTGTTGATGGTTTGTGAATAGTCAATGACCATTCTTTTCTTATGGTTTTCTGTAGCAGTGATTAGGACCTGGGATCTCCAAAGAGAGTTGCTTGGCTCTATAACTCCTCCTTTTAACATTCACTTGATCTCCACTAATGAACAATTGTTCCTCCTTAGAATAATGCCTTGATTTCACTGCGATAGGTTTACAGTCTGGTGTAAGATTAGAAAAGTCAGCTGGGTAAGACATATTAATTTTAACAAGGCCACATTTGAACAGTGGTTCAGCCCCCCTGAATGGTATTTCAACATGGGAATGTTGCCAAAGAAAATTGTGGTTGAATATTATATCATAATAGAGTCTTCATTGTTAGAAGTTTGACATTTTCATAAATAACTCTTTTTACTTTTAGTTCCACATAGCAAAATCCCAGTACTTAAGTTGACAATGCAGCATTGGCCATTGCTACTATATTGGCGCATGGAAAGATTTTCCACCAGTTAACTTTTTCTATTTTCAAATTGATGACTTTCTTAGAGCTACCTGTATCCACCAAAGCAACAAGATTGGGCTGAGACGGCACAGGGTACAGAGATTATCTTTTGTCACTTTTACAAGCTTTGATCCAGTGGCCTTTCTTTCCATAAGACAGATGGTTTTCATCTCTAGTGGGGCATTTCAGGCACAGATGTATTTTGCCCCCATAGAATAAGCAAGTACATTTAGTGAAGGCCATAGTTTCTGGATTTTTCTAGAGATCTGGAGGAAAAGGAGTTGCAGAAATAGAAAGTTTCTTGTTTGTTGTAGTTACAGAACCCACCAAGGTAGTGAATGTTGTGTTATGTTGGGCCACCATTGATGATCTAGCTAATTAATATACCTTCTGGATGTTTACTGATAGCAGTCCATTATGAAAGTGTCTCTCATCAATTCTGTCTGATACTGCTCAGCTGAGACGGCTGTAAAGATACAGCTTTTTCCTATGTTGAGTTCCTTGAAATTATAACTAGATTCAGGAGGCTGCTGATGCCTAGTAGCAAGCAGATGTCTCAAGATCATTTTGTTTTTTTCTTGATATATAGTCTATCAAGGGTTCCCAGAACCTCTTTGAAGATAGTCACTTCAGAAAGGAATTCAAAAACATTCGCAGATACAAATATTGTTTGCAATTAACACCATGACAGTCCTCCAGAAAATTGTTATTCTTTGCTAGTGGCGATACTCCCTCTTAGCATCTTATAAATTGGGATCAGTGGTTAGTTTCTTCAAATAGAATTTGTGTTACACTGGACTAGCTAGTTTTTTTGTTAATAAATTTAAATAAATAAACAACATCAAATATAAACTTTAAACTTTTTTTTTTAAAGTAAGGTTCATCCTGTACAAGGGCCGGGGGTCACTTGAGGTAGAGAGTTACATTAAGGGGTAATTTAGATAGGAGGGAAAGATAATGGTTAACTCTAGACTTGAACACATTAAGATTGTTGTGATTGGGCAACTTCCTCTTAGGAGTCTGTTCCACAGAACACTGGTTCGCAGAAGCAGCTGTTCAAGCGGAACTTAATTCTTGCCAATGGAAAACAAAGGGAATGTGGGTGGTTTGCTACAATGTACACTTTCGCATGGCAGGTTTTAACCGTGAAGGTTAGATCTGGCAGAACCAAGAAATGTAGTTTGTCTGAGCACTTTCCACGGCAGTAAAGATAGAATAGTGAGAGGCTCATCACATCTCACCATTGAGAGAAAGGTTTGAGAGTGGAAAATAATTTTTCTCCAACAAGGACTCAAAGACTGTTTTGAACCCTATTAAGACTGAAAAGTGAGAACTGGGAAACTCCTGCCCAA